TTTGACCGATGATCAGAGCTATATTCAAAAGCATCGGTTAGTTTACAGTTACACTAATGGGGTAGATCTATCAGCGTCAGGAGTTGCCCCCTGGAGGATTTGATCTAGTGATCTTGTAATATGACCTACAGAGTGCTAACTACTGCACTATAAATCCATAGATCTATTATTTGAAAGTATATATAATGTTTTACTTAATTCTTCTTGAAAGATTGGTTCAAGTAATTCTTTGTATCAAGTTTCTTGTATGAATTCTTTGGGCTTGTACTTATCCTTCCAATCCTTTGGTAAACTGTCGTAGCTAGAATTTTGTTTTTTGAAAGCCTCTGTATAATACTTTCTAATCTCTTCTTAAATTTTACTTTTCTGTGTTGTGATATATTTAATATTGTTTTTCTTGATTTTGATTCTATCAAGTATGATCTTGCTTTTAATCCAATTTGTTAAGAAGTTAACTATTCTTCTTTGATTGTATCATAGATCTTCACACTTTCATTCTAGAGTTACTTCGATTGTATCCCTTGTCTTTTTGGCTTCCAATCTTTGACATATAAATTTTAATCCTTTTATTATATCTTGGATATCTTTTTTGGGGGTTTTTCAAAATATATTGAAAATACTATATTGAACACAAATGTTTTTAATCTGGTGATTGAGCTTATGAATAGTATTATATTTTTTTTATAGCCAAGCTGAGGATCTGTAGATTAGCTGCTTTTAATGTTTTTGCTTGTTAAACAGTCCTTTCAGTCATAAGGCTTTTCTATATTCAACAAACTTGGGATTGTATTTATGTTTTCTTTCTTTATTTGAAGCTACATTTTTAATTGCAAGTTTGTCAAAAGCTGGTTTATATAGCAGTTTTCCAAAAGTTTTTCAAAGCCTGTTTGCCTGTGTTTCCCTTTTCTCATGATTCAGTTCTTCTTGTAGCATGGATTCAAGAATTGTTTTAAACTTATGATCTAGACTTTCTTGATATGTTTGCCATTGTGATGGGGATAATCCCTTTATGTTTATTTGTTTTTGAGTATTTGTGAAAGGTTTATTGACTATATTTCTTGTGAACAGGTTTTTGTCATAAAGTGTAATTGCTAGCATAGTATGGTCACTTCCCGTAATATCTTTTATGTTTTGATTGTCGAAATAGAGTAAGGGGTAGCTTGCTAAATTATATAATATCCAAATATAATCTATTCTGTTACTGCTTGCCATGTTTTATCTTGTTAGAGTTTTGTTTTTTTCTTCCCATGTAGTTTGTATGTTTATAAATCCCCATTCATCTAGAAAGTTGAACAGTAGAATTTCTAAACACCATAATGGTTTAAACATAACTTTGGTAAAGGTTTGTCTATATTCTGATGGATTGTAAGCTGCATTAAAATCTTTCATCATAATTGTAAGATAATCTAGTTCATACTTTCTTTTGATAAGGCTTGTTAATTTCTCCTATACCTTTTTGCTTCTTTTTTTATCTAATGGAATATAGATTTGTATAATACAAATTTTCTTCCATTTCATAAGCAGGTTGATAGCAACTATATATTCATTTTCTTCTTCTACGGATGCTATATTTTTTTCTAGGTCTTTCCTGATCAAAAGATTAACTCCTGTTCCAAATGATGTCTTATTATTGATACTATAGAAATGCTTGTAGACTTTTTGATTGTTGAAGGCCTATTGCGTATTGGTTTGAATTAATTTTGCTTTATATAATCCTAATATACCTATTCCTTATTCCTATATTTTCTCAATAAGACTTTATTGATTTGTCTTATCTGTAATACCTCGAATGCTGTATGTGCCTATTCTTATGATTTTATTAAAAATCTCATCCTCTTTGCTGTTTATTTCTATTATTTTGTTTTGAACTTGGCTATTTAAAAATGTTTGTCATTTCTCATATAAAAATGATATTATATCTAAATTATTATTATATTCTATTTATTATTATACTCATATGATTGCTTTTTATCCTTGTTTATTATGGTTGTTAAGGAGAAACTAGGCTCTTGCTACTTCTGATTATTATAAACAATTAGTGTGGCTTAGGAGTGATTTGCTTCTTTGTTGCCATGTTTAGGTCTTTTGAAGGTTAATTGTTCTTATAATATATTTATTCTATTATTTAATTTCTTAAGATTTGCTAAAATACGATTCCGTGAATCTTGTGAAACTTCTACTCTGGTTCTAACTCATTTCTTGTATTTCTATAGTAATTGTATTTTTGATTTATCAGTTCCCTATTGCTTTCTTCTATTATAGTGATATTTAATCCATCTTCATTTTGTTTGACTCTGATTATTATCAAAAGTAGAGATGTATTTTATGAATTTAGTATTTGATAGTACTGTATATCTGAGACTAAATCCTTATCCATTTTTACTTTTTTGTATTCGTATCTTGCTCTTGGGATTTTAATTACTCTTTTAAATTTCTTCTTTTCTAATTTAGTAGAGTATTTGGCACTTTAAGAAAGATGCAATTCTTGTAAGAAAATATGTTGTTTGCATGCATTATCTCTATCTTCTTTTGTTGCAAAACAGAATACTATAAAGTTTTGTTTTCTAAGTGCAAAAGGATCTTTAGGTACATAGCATACTTTTGCTTAAGTGCCATTTAATACCCTGGCTATCAAACTAGTATATGTTTTGTTTATATCCAGAAGTTGTGCAGAATTATAGTTTTTCTCGGCTAAAATATCATTAATTTCTCTATTACTTAATTCTAATTAAGTTTAAGATATTTGTATCACTTGATATATGCCTTAACTCTAGGTTTGGTATTTACCTTATAGAAATGGATATTTTGAACTGCTCTATATCTTTTAAGATATTTAGCTATATAATGTTTATTCACTTTTTGATCCACATCAATCAAGCAGACATGCCAGATAGGAGTATTTTCTTCAGATTTAGTTTCACAGAAGATCTTCTTATTTAGGTTTCTTCTAGTTTTGTGTATATTATCCATGAATTTTGGATTTATTTGTTAAATGGTAAAATTGTCTTCTTTTCAATTTGTTTCCTCTATACATTTTAGGACATTTTCTTTCTCTTATATTCAGAAAGTTAGAAATTTATTTCCATTAATAAATTCCTACTTCAGGAGGTTTCTTTTTTCTTGTACCAATTTTAGTATATTGCCTAAATAAGCCTTGGTTTCCTTTTCAGACTCCCCTGGGATGTTAGCTATCATTGTTTCAAGTCTATAGTTTCTTTTTTCTTTATGAAATATGGATTTGTTAATGGGCTAGTTTTCTGTTTCTAGTCGCATATAAGCTATGTTCACTTATACAATGGCTTTTAATTTTTTCTTGGAGTTTTAGAAAATCTAGCTCTTCTTGTTCTTGGGCACATGTCATTGTAATTTCATTATCTATTGTTGATTCACTGTTTACCTGTTCGATAATTTCCATCAATTGAGGTTTGGGTTTACATATTTCTTCTGGATTTTTAATAATTTCTAGAAACCTATCTTCTATATAGGATTGAAGAAGATCTTTTTTATTGTCTTTTCCCAGTTGTCAAAGATATAGTAAGTGTTGAGTTAAGATCCGTTCTTAATAAAAGATTGTTTTATTAATTTCCAGTATTTTGGCAATAATATTATTTAAGACTATATATATTTCAAATAATGTGACTATTTCTTTGTTAAATTTGATTCCTTTTTGTTGTAGTAGTTGTTGGGAGGCCCATAGCTTTAAATACTTATCATGTTTTTGTGATAGCTTGATTAAGGTATCAACTATGTCCTCTTTTCTTTTGTTTACTATTTGCAGTATTCGTTGAGCTCTATTTATACTTGCTACTTTATTATTTATATTATATCACATGTTTTTATTATTGGATCTACCGTTTTGACAGATTTACTTTTATTTACTTGTTTATCAAATATATCATTTTGATATCAAACTTATAAGTTTATCCATTATTGTTGTATTTTAATTGATCAATATAGGGTAAACATATATTTACGAATTGTTTATCTATTTGTTATTTAGCATTAATCTATTATTTATTATTTTGTTAATCTGTGTGGGGTAACTGGTTGTGTGGGGTACAACTTTGTTAATAAGTTTTGAACACATATTATATTTATTGTGTTAAGAGATACATCACATAAATATTGTTTTTGTTAAGTATACTGTGAGACATATACATGTTTTGTGTTATATGTCTGTTATTTATGTGTTGCAACCAATTTGTTATCTATGTTCTTTAGCTGTTGCTCTTGGATTCCGGATGTCCTTTTGGATCTTTGTGACTTTTGAGTTTTAACTGGTTTACTAGTTAAAACTATTGTGTTGTAAAGGTTTTTTCTAATGTCTAGAAAGATGTTAATCTGTATTAACCTAGTTAGGAGTTAAGAGTTGCTGTTGGATCTTTTGGCCTTACTGTGATTCAGATTTTCTTTCTTGTCTTTCTTCTTCTCAATAATTTTAGTAGAGCATAATACTGTTATGAAAAGTATGTACTTCTCTATTTGGTGACTTGTTTTTTAAGTCTTGTATATATCTTTTAAGAAGGGTTGTATAATTGTTAGCTCTTGTAAGTACTATTGAATCAGGTTTAGTGTGTTTTATTCTTTTTTTAAAATTTCCAAAAAAGAAAATTTTTAAGAAAAAGGAGGATCAGCAGGTTAGTTTAATAAAATATATAAAAATAATAATATATAAATAATAATATATAAAATAAAATAATTTTTATTAAAAGTCTATTATGGAATAAATATTGTCTTTAAAATCGAATGTAAAAATTATAATTACTTATAATAAGTTGGTTAATTGATTTGTAAAAGTTTAACTATAATATATTATAATAAAGATAGTATCTAATACTATTGAATAGTCAACTCTTTCCAATTCACCTGTGGTACAACAACACCTCAAAGTACAACAAAAGAGTCGAAAAAAATAGAAAGACCTAAAAGATAGCAATATATCAATAATAGGCCAAATTACAACATTGAGAAGCTAAGCAAGGGTACAACAGTTCACATAGTAGATAAGAAAACATCTACTACAGATAAGAAACCTAGCAACAGTAAAAAACTAAAGACCATCTATGCTTCTCCTACAGCCCAACAAATATCCATCAGTACAAACAATAATTCAAAAAGAAACAAACAGGTGGACAAGGACACTGCTTCAAAAAATCTCAAACCAAACTAGGCAAGCAAAATATGGAGTGAACAAGTCGAACTGAAACAAAGACAGAAAGGAAACCCAACATGAACACACTAAATGGAATCACTAGTACTCTTCAACTCGTGGCCAGAATAGATGACTCAAATGTTGAAATAGACTATAGTGAAGAACCTGAAGATGCCTCAGACACCTGGTAGGAAGTCAGCAAGAACAAAGGCAAAGGTAAGAAAACCTAAGTATGATCCTTAGTTACTAGACCCTGGCCAAGATTTTCTTTTGACTATTAGACAAGATATAACAGAAAATAAATTAAATTGGATATCAAAGCTGCAAAGCTATCTGAACAGACAATTCATCAAAAAATTATCTACATCACTAAGACACTCAACTTCCTAGAAGGTCTCCTCCTTATTTAACATGAATGCATTGATGAAGAAGATCATATCATCACTATTTTCAAGAATCAACAGGCTGCAGATAACACAAGCAACATAATCTTATCTGAAACTGACAATAAAAGATTAACTCACATGCAAAAAATGATCAACAGACTAATAAGAAAAACAGTATCAGGGCCTGAAACATTCCCTGAACACCAGATTCATAGATATGCAACAAATATTCACCAAATTTGGACAAATCACTAATATCAAGATAATGATTCAACAAATGTGATAGACTGCAACAATCATATTTGCACAACAAGAAGATAAGATCAAACTACTCTCCCATTGAAGCATTCCCATCAAAGCTGACTCAATCAGAATTTTTGATACCTGCTAAGACTTAGATCAGATGAAAGACAGGAACAGGCACTTCCTAAAACTCATAAACCTCCTATCAAACACAACAACCTTTGACTTAAGATATATTTGTTAAAAATTACAAGCAAAGACATGTTACTTTTCTCACCTTATATTATACAAATCTTGAAAATATGCCATCCTCAGTTTCAAAAATGAGGAAACACTCCATATAGTCCTAGAATAACAATTCAGTCTTGAGGAAATCATCATCAAAATGAAAACTATTCAAACCAAGCTTTATACTATATGTGACAGCCCTTAATACCTTATCACCAACTACATCATCAAGAAATATAGAGAACAATGGAAAGAATATAATCACGAGCAAGCAGAAAGATTTGAAAAACTCTATAATTACTTCAGACCAACTGGCTCATACAGAATTCACAAACTCATCCACTTACATTGAAACAAGATATAGCAACTCCAGGATCATATGCTATAGTAGCCAAAGACAGAAGTATCAAATGCTCTAATGCACACCCACAACCCAACTCTTCATGAACTGAAAACTTCAGAGATATCTTAGCCATACTAGCACAGATTCAGAGAGAACTCAAAGCCATCAAAGAAACACTTAATGACCTTGATATCAGGATTGATAACCTCGAGCAATACTGTTTTGATTAGGTAGAAGACATGAAAAAAGATACAAGTCAAAGCAACCAGAAAGTAGGTAAAGAATCTTCCAAGCAAGATAACATCTCTAATATTCAAGAACAACAACAACTACTACACAACTTAATCAGAAACATAGATAAAACCATGGGCACATTAGTTTCTACCATCATGAGCATTATTTCTAACAACAAATAATTTCAGCACTCCCAACTTCACCAATAATAGATAATGTACAAAGCAACAGAAATAATCTCTCTCTCAAGAATAATCAAAAAAATAAAAATTCACCAATTATTAATATAAACAATATACAGAAAACAATTATTAATTCATCAATACATTACTCTTCCTCAATATTAACAAATATATATTCAGTCAATACAATAGAACATGAACTGACTCAAAATCTTGAACATATCGTCGAAACAAGACCATATATTACAATAGTAACTTGCAATTGTCAAGGCCTCATTGACATTATAAAACAAATAACATGGATGAACGCATGGTCAAAAGCCAACTGGAATATAATAATCTTTATAGAAACCAATGGAATCAGTAAGATAGTGAACAAGTAGAAAACAAAAAAATATGCAATATAGTAGGAAAGTGAATCTAGAGATACCAAAGTTGGTATCATCATTAGGAGACTATTAGCAAACAAGGTCATCAATATTCAAAAGAAGCTTAGTAGACTAATTTGCATTGACCTAACATTCACTGATAAACAATATATCCATATTATCAGAACATACCTTCCAGCACAATCAGGTCCAAACAGAAAAGCAGTACAAAAACAGATTATCAAATAGATAAAACAGCACAATCATAACAATTGCATGTAATGCTAGGAGATGATTTTAACAGAATGTCATCACAGATTATTGATCACCTTCCCCTAAAACAAAAGATAATTACATATAAAAAGAACAGCTTCTTTATAATAGTCCAAGATTTAGGATTTAGATACATTCTGACATATTAATACTAGAGCAAAGAAATTCACATGAATCAGCAATAATGCTGCCAGCTATATAGATATGATCTGAATAAGCTTAAGATCCACTTAAAGCATTATTAATATTTACATAACTAATAATAATTATATCAAAATCGACTACTATATACAAGTTACAACAATAGAAACATGGCAACTTAATAAAGAGGAAACCAAATTCCATCAGCTCCATAACAACACAAGGTACCTATAGCAGGCCAACACTAAAAAACAATGAAAAAAGTTCACAACGATTGTAGAGGAGCTTATAGAAATGAACAAAAACACACAAGCCAATAAAAATCAAGATCCAAACAAGATATAGAATACACTCAGACAGAGTATCTTAATTGTAGCAAAGTCCTATTTAAGTACTTTCAAAGAGAAAAAAAAGAACAAACCAACAAAAATCAGGCAATCTAAACTGAAACTCATTTTCCTTCTCACCAAATACTACAGAATAATTACAAAAGCCATCTCAGTAGGAACAAAAGGAACAATTGAGGAAATAAGAACAATACACAAGCAAATATTTTCCTCTCACCCAGAAGAAAACTATATTCCTCTATGGAATGGACCACAACATAAAGAAAATTACAGAAGTAATTATAGCAATCACACTTGCATGGTTCAAAGCCAAAAGAACAAATATACAAGAAATAATCAAAGCAAATATACTCAAATACAAAACTAGACAAAACAATCTATTTTGCTTAGACAAGAAAGCCATAATTTGCCCCTTACTAGATAATTCAAAGAAAAATATAATAATATACAGACCAATTAAAGATGGATCTGACATGAAAACCCTTATTACAGACTTAGACACAATAAAAGATGAAATTAAACAACACTTTGAACGATAGATCCAGAAAACCACTAACAATAAGATAGCAGGTACAATTTGGAAGCCAGAATACGAGCTGAAAATACATATTAAACAAAAATAGTACAATGCAATAATCAAGCAATTTACAGCAGAAGAAGTTAAATAATCTATTAACAATACTAGCAATAAATCAGCTTCCGGTCTTTCACAGATCCCATATAGTGTGGGACACTCACTTTTGAAAAAAAAAATTTTTTATTTTTATTTATAAATAAAAAATTTATTAAATAAATATTATAAACTTTATATATATTATATATTTTTATTAAT